AAAATGGCGAGTTAACACAGTAGGGATTGGTCTGCAATCAGAAAGCCCAGAATTCATTCCCCAGAACAAAAATGGAGCTGTAAATGCCTTAGACTACAACGCTTGCTTTAGACAGACAGACAGATAGATAGACAGACATAGACAGATCAATCACCTGAGTCACTTGAAAAATCATACCTCATGATAACCAAACTTATTATCCAGCTCTATCATCCACTCATTCCTCAGGCTTGTTTCTTGCTTGGCTACTTTCAAAACTCAAATTCATCCTCAGAGGACAAATAATTACTCTTTTGAAGTTGTTTTCCAGAATCCGAGACAGTTCTTGAATAGATACTTCCATGATCCATGAGCAGAAGAAAAAAAAAAAAAAACACTCTGGGCTCAGCAGGACTCTGGCCACTAGATCCACAGTGTGGTCAAGGATGTTAACCATGCCTCCCCCGACCCCAGGTCAGCCTGTGGTCTTGGTCAGGACCAAGGGGCCAACCCATGGCCCAGGAATTAATGGGTCCTAGCACAGTGACACAGCCAAGGAGGTTCAGCCTCCTTCAAGCCTTAGGCAATCATGGCTTAAATCCTAGCTGTGGAACCTAGCTGCACAGATTTGAGCAATTAACTTGCATTTTTTTTATTTCCTTAGGTAAAGCCTGATAGAAATCAATATAGTATTTTTCTAAGTTTATTTAAGCAACAAGATGCTTGACTTGCAGAGAAAGCTAGGATTCATTTTATACCCATACTTGAAGGTGTAGTAAGGAGGCCGCTTGTTTGTTTTTTGCCTACTTGGCAGCTCAGACCCAAAATAACCACACAGAAACTGTATTATCTAAGTCACTGCTTGGCCCATTAGCTCTAGCTTCTTATTGGTAACTCTTACATCTTAGTTTAACCCATCTCCATTAATCTGGGCATCACCACAAGATCGTAGCCTACCAGCAGAGTTTCAGCACATCTGTCTCCAACAGTGGCTCCATGGCTTCTCTCTGACTCTGGCTCCTTTCTCCCAGCATTCACTTTAGTTTTCCCTGCCTAGCTCTGTTCTTTTACCCTATCAAACGCCAAGAGAGTTTTTTTATTCATTAACCAATGAAAGCAACACATAGACAAAAGGACCTCCTATACCATGAAGGCAGATCATCCTACATGTAACAGCTATGTGTAAAAAATGTCAGAAAACTCTCTTTAGTTTTACAATTCTCAAATGAGGTAAGCAAGGATTTTCTTTGTTGTTTGGGTGTTTTGCTGTTGTTAAAACACTGAGAACAAACAAACAAACAAACCCTTCCTGGACTATGGAGAGCTGTGTGACCCTGCCCCTAACTGAGAAAGGGCTATTTTCACAGAATCAGTACTTTGCTCCACACTGCTTCCATCTGATGTCAACAGAAACAGAAGACTGGCCAGTCAGTCTTTGTTTTGTTTTTTTTTTGTTGTTGTTTTGTTTTGTTTTGAAGTACAAAAGGCTTGTGCACATATGCCAGCTTTATGCACAACATGTTTTAAGATTAGGGAAAGATACTGTACCCATGTCAGGGACATCATATGGAGGGGCACAGACAGTGGACTGTGGTAGTAGGGACATGCTAGAACCAAACTGTGTTTTCCTGATGGAGAGTGTATTTCTGGTATCACAGAACTCTGGCGTGGACGTTTCTTCAGTAGACCCCTGTCTGCTGATAGAATGTGTCCATATTCCTCCTCCCCTTCCAAGTATACACAGATGTGTCTGCCATCCAATTGGAATGGATCTGCCTTACAAAGCCTTCTTCACAGCAGGCTTTCATTAGCTTACAAAGTGGTGCCTGCCTCTTAACCTTAAACTACACCATAGAACCACCTGCCCTGCCATCTTCAGATTGACAAGACCATTGTTCTCAGTTTCTGTAGGCCCATATTTCTATATGGTGTGGCAGCTAGGTGCTAAAGCCATTGGCCCCATTTGAGATGATCACGTAGCCCTGCAGACAGGCTGTCTCTGCCTAACAAAGGGTCAGGATGTTGTTGCTCCTTTCTTTGTAATTTGGAGGATGCCTTATGGAGATGCTGATTCAAGCCTACATGACAGCTAGCATACACAGCAGACAAGCAGATGCGGATGTGACAAAACGCCGTTCACCTGGTTACCTAGGAGACAGGTCTAGTGTATTTTCCCACTCAGTTTATGTGTTGGTATAAAAGCTGTTTGGATAATAAACGCAGGGAGATCTTCAGGAGGAGAGAAGTCTGAGATGCCCTTCCGTGATGATGGTGTAAGCTGTACCTGGTTGTTCCTTGCGCCTCCGTACCAGTCCATTTAGGAAAAATAGTTATCTATGTTAGGGCCCACAGGTTTTAACAAGTTTCCAGTCTTTCCCTGGGTTTCCCACTGGCCATGACCAGCGCTGGAGTCTCCCTGGAGGCTGCTTTACAAAAGGACCACATTCACACTGAAGGAAGACACAGCTAACACCAGGAGCAGCAGCAAAAGGTGGGGGGGAGAGCCAGTCCAGAAAGCAACTATTGCAGTAAATCCAACAGAGAGAGGCTCGAGGTTTTGGGTCAAAGAGTAGGCAATGGTCGCATGCACTGAGAGGCTTTAGAGAAAACATCCTGGACAGGACTAGGAATCCTATGTAGTGGGAAGGACAGAAGCTGCATGCCTCTCTCAAGTATGACTGAAGTCATAGGGAACGGTGGATACCATAGGGTGGGGGAGCTTGTGAGGGGCTCAGACTCTGGAGCCAGGTCGTCTGGCGCATGAGTTATGGTTTTCTGTGGGAAGTTCTTCTATGTGTTGCTTTTATTAATTAAGGAATAAAGAAGCTGCTTTCAGCCAGTGGCATAACAGAACACAGCTAGGCTGGAAGCGAAATAGAGAGACAGTAGACAGAGTCAAGGCGAAGCCATGTAGCCCTGCCAGAGACAGACACTGGAAGGAACCTTGCCGGTAAGCCACAGCCATGTGGTGATACACAGATTAATAGAAATTGGTTAAATTAAGATGTAAGAGCTAGCCAATCAGAAGCTAGAGCTAATAGGCCAAGCAGTGATATAAGTAGTACACAGTTTCTGTGTTGTTCTTTCTGGGTTGAGCAGTCGGGAACAAACAAGTGGCCTCCTACAACAGCAGTTCAGTGGCTTACAGTGGTATAACCTTGGGTCTAGTACTGACCTCCCCATTCCTCAGAAAAGAGAGTGTGATGGTGCCTATGAGGAAGTCATGGAAAGGAAGTAACAAATGAAAGTTTATTAAAGTGCTCAGTACCGTGGCTAATATGCTAACACAAATTAAGTGTCCACTGAATCTGCCTGTTAAGGTCAGTCATCATCCTACCACAAACAGGATTACAGAAGCAGAAAGAATGGCATGGTTTCCAGAGAAGGCTGGCAAAAGCGGACCTAGCTACCGGTTGTTTAAACCAGAGTTCAACTCAAGGGTCCCTGGGGAGGACAGCCAGGCAAATGCCACAGTGCTGCAGGCTGCAGCCCACCCAGAGAGTAACCTTCAACACACATAACATCATCATACGTGTTTCCACGCCCTAGTGGGTGGCTCTAAAATTGCTAATGCCCCAGTCAAGGTTAGGTCTTGACCCAGATGCTGGACTAATATCAGGGAACATGAAGGAAAGATGATCTCTTACACAGTGACAATACATGCATGTATTATAATGCAGGTATAAACTCTAGTTACTTAGTAACTTCTAACACCTTACCAAGATAACCTTGCAGCCATTATTCACAGTAATTCCTGTGCTTTTCCCAGCAGTAAAATAGCCATATCAAGCTTAGGAACTTGGAAGAATCCTACAGCAATCTTGAACGCTAACAGCTAAACAATACCATGCCTTGCTTAATTACTGACTTTTAACAAACATCTATTTGTGGGCCAGAAAGATGGCTCAGTGAGTAAAAGTCCTTGCCATTGAGTCTGACGACTTGAGCCTAATCCTCCAGAGTCCATACGGACAATTCCTGAAAACTGTCCTCTGACCTACTTATATACACATAAGACAAACAAATAGTAAGTACAATTTTAACTAAAGATAAGTATCTATTTGGTGGGGGAAAGTTGAATTAACTTAATGATATGAGTAATCTTAGGTGTGTCAAGGATATGGCGATTTATAATTTATGACTTCCCTTTATATAAACTGCTTGTGCAATTAATACTTAATCTAACCTTGTTTTGTCTGACTGCTAAACAGTGGTCATTCAGATATGGTTAACAGCTGTTGTCAGCCTAGGCGTGTTCGGTGTTGTGCTTCCCTCTAGTGGTAAATAGAGAAAATTACATCCTTACGGGTTTTTAAGGACTTGAAATTTGTTGCTACACTGCTTTTACATACTTTATCTGTAAACTGTCTGAAATGCTTTCTGTAATAACACAAAGTTTAAATAAATAGGTTAAAATTTTATACGTGTTTACAGTGTTTCTCAAGGTCAAAATGTGAGTCGGAAAACCCATCTGTCTGGATTCAAATTCTAACTCACCATTTAATAAGTTGTGAGGTCCCGGGAGATTAATTGGGATATTAACGCCCTATCCCCAGTTTCTCATTTACTGAGTGAGGTTAACAAAAGCCTACACCACATTGTTGATGTGGGGACTGAGTGAATAAACATAGGGAAAGCACTTAAGGCTAGTCAGAAGTGCCATTCAAAATGGAGACTCTGCTGAAGGGTAGTTTTTATTTCTAAGTTCTTTACAATAAAATTTTAATAAATAAATAAAAGTGATAGGCAAGTTAGGCTCTTCTGAAATCAGAGAACCTGGCAGAGTACGTGGGTACTGAGTTCACTAACACACACTCAACCTCCCTGCTCCCTGGCTGTAGCCCGGGTTAAAGCATGTAGGGAAACAAGCAAATTTGTGCACCACACTAGCACACGCATGAGAAGAGACTGTCTACTGCAAATTATGTGTTTACCACCTAGGAAGCTCTACTACACAACTACCTCTCACAAAGAAATCAGACTTCATAAAATAGTAATAGCGAATTGTTATAAAACTCAACCAAATTCAAAAGACACATTTATTGTACAATCTATTTACAAAAGGGGGGGTACAAATGTGATAGAGAACAAAGGAAACATGCCAGGCATATGCATGGGCAGAGCCAGTGTGGATGAAACTTTCCAAGAGTCTATTTCTACATGCAGCACCTGGCAGTCAAAAGAATTTATTACCTCAGTTTTAGAAAGTTCAGTCTTACATGACTAAAACTATGGCTTTCTTAATGAAAAGAATTATCTTTGGCTCACAGAAAATCTCCAAGTTGCTGAAGGTCAAATACACCATATCACACTGTTGTTCCTGAATCGAGACCACTAAGGTGTCCACTTTCCGATGCAATTACACAAGGTTTTTTTTTTTTAATTGTTTTACAAGCTTAAAAGGAGGGGCTGCTTTGTCCCGCACACCCACACAGCAGGTGATGAAGAAAGGCCCCGAGCTCACAGTGCAGAGGTTCTTTAAAGGGAAAAACTGCAAGCAGGGAGTTATATGCCTTGACATTACTAGATTGGGTAGGGGGATAGTTGGCTCTAAGTCAAGAGGGGATTTTTGTTAGCTTTTTAAAAAACCACCCAGTAACTGTAAAAAAAATAAAAAAATAAGAACAACTTGTTTGTCTAGCTTCTTGATTGGCTGTCCTCAAGTCTCTGGGCAGCCAGACAGTTTCTGGGCCTGTTGTGGCGTTTTTCTAAATTTACAGGTACACGGGGTGGGGTGCCTGCTAGATTAGACTCTCACGAAGATTGGGCCTGGGTTTAAAATGGCTTTAGTCTTGTCCCCTCAATACCGACTTACAAAGGCACTTAAATAGGAAGCCATAATTATTTAGGGAAATCACTGCCGTATGCATTCCATTTTCAGTAGCACTCACACAGTGGGAAATCGACAGACCCGACTCTCTTCACAGCCAGCTAACTGCTAGAACTTCCAGAACCAGGGACAAGCATTTGTAAATGTCCTCCTCAGGTTGAGCACAGATGGGTTCCAGAACATGGCCTAGTCACCCTAACAGAGGTTGTGATTCTCTGAAAGGCAGCGAAAGACACCACAGAGCATTTCTGCATCTGTCTTTCCAAGTGTAGGCCCAGCTTTCACTTCTGATACCTTGAATAACTGCTTTTATAGTGCCAGTTCTTCCCTTAGATCGCTGACTTTCTGCTGAAGAAATGTGACATCAAAACTGAAAAAAAGCAAATGGAAATTACTGAAAATTACTGAAAAGTGAAAAAGAAAAAAGTAGAGAAAGCAAAAGGCCAGGCAAGTATAAAGTACTAGCTGACCCTTAGAGGTTGAGTTCCTTCCATAGCACATAATGAGAGTAATCTATGTCAGGAGCTGTGCTCAGAGCTGAGGACTCATTTCAGAAGCAGTAAGGATTTTTGTTATTGCGTGTTCGTTCCCTAAGTATCTCCATCTAAGATTTGGTTGACTCACATAAGCAGAGCACATGGCCACAGAGGTACCTTTCCTGTAAACAGCCAAGGGCTACACAAATGTTAGAATTAAACATCTACTTCAGACACAGTCGCATACTGAAGATGCAACTTGTAATTCCAAAGAGGACTACTTTTTGCCTTCCTTGTTTTGTTTGAAGGAGGGCAGGCATTTTGTTGGTTTGTTTTAGGTCACTGGGCACTGAATCTACTGTATCGTGCATGTTAGCCTGGCACTACCACTTAACTAGATCCTTTGTCCTGCATTTCTTTACCATTTTCCGAGTTAACATCTGATCAAGCCTCACAGTACACACACAGTGGCAACCTTAAGGACTGCACCTCCCACACCATTTAAGCAGTTGTAGGATTTCAGTTTCCCAGTCTCTCTCTGCTGCAGGGCACTTGAGTGCTATCTACTGATTTCAGATGCCGTCCCTCCTCCAGTCCTCTTGATTGCAAAGGGTTTGTTCTATCTGATCTCAACTAGACAAGTATGAAAATCACCCACTCCTTAAAGCACACCTTCTTATGCATCCAATAAACACTACTTTAAAGATAACTCTGATTCTGCCCAGGTGGCACAAGCCTTTAATCTCAGCATTCAGGACACATAGGGCCAGTCAGAGCTACATGGTGAGCCTATCTCAGGGGGAAAAATAGAGGGTGGAGATAACTATGATCCTGATTGCTTTTTTTAAAAAAATGCAGGATTAACATTCCATTCAACTAAATAATCCAAACCCTTCCTATTTGATGGCCAACATAATGGAGTATTCACATGCAGTATGCTTAGGCTGGCTCCATACACAGCTCTTCCCTAGTCCTTAACATTTCTAATATCTCATTCACACTACAGATAGCAACATCAACTTAGCACCTACCTAGGGCAAATCATTATAAGCATGTGCATCTGTGTGTTTCAAAACATCTTTTATTTCATGAAGCTAAAAGCAAAAAAAAAAAAAGCAAAGTTGGCAAGAAAATAAGGTTAGCATTAAAAACACAAAACTAATGAATAAGCCTGCCGTAGCAACTCACAGCTCTATTCTAGTACCTGAGGCTAGAGGAGGAAGATTTCCCCAGTCTAAGCCAGCCTGGGCCATCATGTAAAATCTCACTGCAAATAAATAAATAATAGAAAACAAATACTGCATAACTTATCCAATATAAATACTTTAAGAGAATCTGTATGGATGCAGAGCCCATCATAAATGCATGCTTGAGAAAGCAAGTAATGCTTTATTCCACAACTTACCCTTGAAGTTTCTGGACTAGAAAATGGAGAACACTCCCAAGATCTATTTTCACTGTCAAAGGAATCCTCCTGAAATGCAAACTTCTGCTTAAGTGCATTGGATATTAAAGACACTGGATCCCATTGTAAACTCTGTCTTTTCTTCTTCTGAATGGGTCTACCACCTGGTGACCTATTTTTTAAAAAACACAATCAAATATATTAAAACTTTGATGCAATTTTAGCTCTTTGTTCAAAAACACAACAGGAATATGAGCATAATATATTATAATCTAATTAGTCTTTAAGAGATTTCTACTGTGAATTAAGGAATCTAAAGAGTACTAAGAATTCAAAATTAGAAAACCAAGAAACCACATGGGTTGGGGTCTTCTGCAACCTGTCATGACCTGAGGCTCCTCATTTTCACTGCTACAAACCTATAAGTTAAGTTGGACCTAAACTTATGATCCTGTTTCTGCCGTCCAAGTACAGGGAGTATAGGCATGTGCCGTGATGTCCAGCACCACTGAAGAAAATGTAAAGAAATCTTTAAGAGCCAGGCATGGTAACACACACCTTTAATTCCAGCACTCAAGAGGCAGACACAGACAGATCTCTAGGCCAACCTGGTCTAAAAAGAGAGTTCCAGGACAGCCAGGGCTGTTACACAGAGAAACCCTGTCTCCAAAAATATAAATAAATAAATAAATAAATGAAACCTTTAAAAATGTTTAAAGGATCAGATTTTATGAAAAGAACATCTTTTTGCTAGTCATTCATTAATTTGATCATTCAATCAGTCTTCATTGAATTGTAACTATTTAGTCAGGCTATTTCTGGAACTTTCCACTGAAGGGTAACCAATCTCAGAGAAAGCAAAATGTTGGGTAAAAGGAACTACTGTATTCCTATTCTTTACAATATGGAGTAAATATAATTAATACCAAAAAAATGTGAAGTAGGTAAGACAATAGAAGAAATAGTCAAAGAAGAGCTAAAGGCGATTGTCTCCCAGAGGGAGGCCACAGGAGGTAAGGGGTAAGAGACACACACCAACTCTCAAACAATTTCTCTTAAAACAACTGATAGAATTTCAGTTCCTTCCCCAAATTCTGGTGACATACCTTTCGATGGGACGGAGTTTGACCTTATTCATGTCCTTTAGAACATCCAGCATGTTTGGAACGTCACTGGCTCCATGGCTTTCTGAGCCATGGCTACCGTTCATCTTGTGCACACCTGAGTATGGCTTTCCTACGGCAGTTGTTGGGTCATCTCTGCTGGCAGATCCAGGTTGCACAGGAGGAAAACATGGCTGGAGAGAAAACTGAGGCAGAGGTGGTGGTGGAGGAGGAGAAGAAAATACTGAACTTGGAGAGTGATCTGGCTCCTCACTCAGGCCAGCAGTCACTGATGACGACAGTGCTTGTTCCATGCTGGGTTCATCACTCAGGTCACAGAAGCCTAAAGCAAAGGAGAAACCAAAACCATGCACAATTCTCTGCAGCATAACACTGGGAACCAATGCAAGTCAAACCACAGTGGCCTCTGGGATGCTGCTAAACTATTACAAGGCAGCCAAGAAAGCAAGCCAACCCAGTCTGAAGTGTCAGTTCTCTCCTAATCCAGTCTCGAGGCACACCCTAAAGGATGCAGTTTAAAGAGAAAATAAAGTGATTCCTAAGAATCCATAAATAATCTCAACTTCACTCTCCGGTTTCAAAGCAAGCACTAACAATTTCTAGTTAGAAGTACGCAAATTGATGGACCCGCTCTAAAATGACATTTGAGAAACAAGTGCTGTCCTGAGATGAGTATTTAACTTTCTCATAAATCTGCTCCTGAAGAGCTGAGAGTGAACATCCTTGCTTAAAAACAAAGGGTATACTCATATGATTATGTTATTTGTATATTATGCACACATAAATATATACGTAAAATTTTAGTAATTATACTTACACATAGCACCTTACAACCAAATCAGCTGTGAAAAGAACTCGGTACCTATATAGCTTAGGCCTCACAGTTTTTAAAAAAGATTTTCTTTTTATTGCTAATTATGTATGAGGGGGAATGTGCATGTGAGCACCGGTGACCTTGAAGGCCAGAAGAGGTGTCAGATTCCCCCTCAGCTGGGGTTACAAATGGTTATGAGTCACCCAATATGGGTACTAAGGACCAAATTCAGGTCCTCTGGAACACCATTATGTGTTCTTAACTACCAAGCCTTCTCTCCAGACCCTAAATTTTGTATTTAAAGCAAGATACATCTCCAAAAGCTTAAAAAAGAGACATCTGGAAAATACTCACCTGTTGGTGAGAACGTATCATAAAAAACTGAAATGAGCTGAAAAGACAGTTCAGCAGTTATGAGCACTCGCTGCTCTTACAGAGGACCTGGGTTCAATTCCCAGGACCCACAGGGCAGCTCATCACTGTTTCTGACATTAGTTCCAGACGGTCTGATGTCTTATTCTAGTCTCTGTAGGCATCAGGCGTACATGTAGTGCACACACGATAGAAAACACCCACGCACATGATAGCTCACAAACACTTTTAACTCCAGTTGCAGGGGATCTAATGCTCTCTTCTGACATCTATGGATAGCAGGTACATACATGGTGCACAGACATACATTAGAGCCAAATATTTGTGCACATAAAATAAATATTAAAAAAAAATAAAAACAAAAGCAACTAGACTATAAATATACACGGTATCAAAACTATTCTGCTCTTTCAAACCATACATTCGTTTCTTCCTCTTTAATCTCCCTTTTTTCTTTCCTTTTTAAAAATTACTTTATGGAGTCTAACAAATAGCTCAGTGATAAAGAGCACTGACTGGTCTTTTGGAGGACCCCGATTCAATTCCTAGAACCCACATGGCAAATTCAGTTCCAGGGGCTCTGAAACCCTCATATATAGATACATAGAGGCAGAAACCAACACACTTAAAACAATAATAAATAAATCATTAAAAAATATTAGAAAAATTAAAATTATTTATTAGTTTGGGGAATTGGTATTAGTTTTTTATTTTGTCTTGCTTTAGTGTTTCTAAGAATGATTTTCATGAAGCCCAGGCTAACTTCAAACTCTGTTGCTACAGATGACCTTGAACTTTTAATCCTCTTGTCTCTACCTTCCAAATTCTAGAATTATAGATGTACAACATCATGCTGTTTTATGCGATACTGTGGATTTAACCCAAAGCCTTGTGAACATGAGGCATGCCCTCTATCAACTATTCCCAGGTTTAGCTTTGATTTTTGAGACATGGTCTCACACTACAGCCAAGACTGGCTTAGAATTCAAGTCAATCCTTCTGCCTCAGCCTCTTGAATTCTCGAATCACAGGCACGAGCCACCATGCCTGGCTTCCAGTTCTTTGCTAAAGAATTAAAAAAGCTTACTTAGAAGTCATGACTTGTTAAACAAAGCCCTTCAGTGGCACAGCTAACTCTTCTGTGCAGCCCTCACTTTGCGATGGCAGTCAGCCTCTAGGATGTATTTACTGCTGTTTGTGTTGGGAAGGGTGCTGACTTAGGGATCACTCAGCGTCACTCTCCACTACTTACCAGTCTCTTCACTCTCTCTCCGCTCCTGCATTGCCACAATTGCAGCAATCTGAGCCCGAAGAAAAGTGAGCTCATCTTCAAGGGCAGCTATTTTTTTAATTGCAGCCTCACTTGCTGGCAGATCATCTTTCACTGGTTTATTCTGTCTTAGAGCAGGTGACAATGGATCCCAAATTAGTTTTGAAGAATGGGAAAGAGCAATTTTTCCTTCCTTCTCCTTTTTCCATAGACCATGTCTGTGGGTGAAAGGAAAGAAGAAACAAAAGGGGCTGGAGAGATGGCTCAGTAGTTAAGAGCACCACCTGCTCTTCCAAAGGTCCTGAGTTCAATTCCCAGCAACCACATGGTGGCTCACAACCATCTGTAATAAGATCTGGTGCCCTCTTTTGGCCTGCAGGCAGAGCACTGAGAATATTGTATACATAACAAATAAAATAAATCTTAAAGAAGAAGAAAGAAGAAGAAGAAGAAGAAGAAGAAGAAGAAGAAGAAGAAGAAGAAGAACAAGAAGAACAAGAAGAAGAAGAAGAAACAAAAGGAGGAAAATGTTCAACTTAAAAAGAAAAACTCAGCTAGGCATGGTGGCCAATGCCTTTAATCCCAGTACTTGGGAGACAGAGGAGGCAGGCAAGCCTCCGAGTTCAAAAAGTCTCGAAAAGAGAGAGATAGAGATAAAGAGAAACAGGGAGAGAGAGACAGGGTTGGTTAAGAGAGCCCACTGTTCTTGCAAAGTTAGTTCTTCAGTGTTTCCTTTTGAGACAGCTTCTCATGAAGTCCAGGCTGACCCGGCTCCCAGAATCCAAGTCAGGCGTTTCAATCCTGTACTCCAGCCCCAGGAACACACAGCACCTGCATTCAGTCATTCTCCCTCCCCCACCACATACACATGACAAATAAATAAATTTCTTAAGGAAAAAAAAATCAGGGGCTGAGATGTAGCTCAGTACAGAGTATTGCCTAGCGTGTGCAAGGCCCTGGATTTAATCTCTAGCACACAAATATAAACAAGTTAAATCAATCAGAGTACCTCCCTGACCTGAGATGATCCCTAGATTCACCAAGATAAAGCACCTCATATTATTCTTTACTTTTGTATTCATATATAGAACACATGGCCAATAAACAGCAAGGAAATGAGAAAATGAACCTTTCCTCAAATTGTAAAACAAAGCAGGCAGATCTCTGTAAGCTCAAGGCCAGCCTGGTCTACAAGAGCTGGTTCCAGGACAGACTTCAAAGCTACAGAGAAACCCTGTCCTGAAAAAACAAAGCAAAACAAAAAGAAAGAAGTTACAATTCATATAAAGGCAAACCCATTAGAGTACCAGTTGACTTTTCAATGGAAATTTTAAAAGTAATGTACTTCAAGTCCTAAAAGGAGCCTTCCACCTATGCACATGCAGACACCATTAACTGGACTAAGTAGATTTTACATCAACAAACACACACAATCACACATGCATGTGCACACACAAACATATACATGCATGCACACAGGACAATATGAAATTGGTAAGAGAGAAGAGAGGATATAGAAAGAATTGAAGGGAAAGGGTGAGGGGTAATTTGATAAAAATAAAATTCATTTGTGTACGAAAGGAAAATATAATTTTCAAAAATTTAAATGCAAAATGTAATTTTAAACATACACTAAAAACTGAAATGCCATTCCTGTATTAGAAAAATATCAAAACATACCATGTCACAACAACAGTACAAACTTCAGTGCACGCAAGCATCCACGTTTTAGGCTACACCCACATCCCAAGACAAGCATATAAAATTACCGAAACCTGAGATAACTGGCTTCTTCATCATTTGCCACACACAAAACATCAGCAAAAGATGGAACAACAGGTTCATAAACATCAGACTCCTCAGAGTTTAAGTGAGGGATCAACTAAAACAAAAATGAAAACAAAGTCAGAGCTCCATCGGGAATCAGGGAAAGCACATGCCTCGTGCTTCGTCATATTAAATAAGGTAACAGTCTGAAACAGAAAAGGGAAAAACACTGGAGACGTGTTACTCTACTACCTAAGCAAATAACAACATCTTCTCCCCATGGCTAATCTCATCTAGCACACAGCAGAAATACAAATAAAGTAAGGTAAGAACAAGCTCCCAGGTATTCTTTGTACCTGTCTTTGGATATAATTAAAGAAGCAAACACGTGTGAGATGATTTATTTCCAGCAGTAAAGGTCCTTGCCTTGCAGGCACATTTCCTTTCCTTCTACCCTGTATTCCTGAGAGTATCCAAGATTACTTTACACACAGGACTTAACACATGGTGACTGACTTACCTCAAAATTAAGTCTTCGACAAGGTTCTAAAGGAAGCACTCTCCCAATCATACGAATGATACTCCGAGCTGACCCATAGTCTTTATTTTGCCAAATCAACAAATCCTATAAATAAAGCTTTGTTTAAATACACCCCAATTAAATATGTTTATATTTATCTAAAAAAAGAGATTCAACAGGTGTAGTAACATTTATGTATTCAAAGAAAACATAATATCATACTCTTAAAGTGTCTTCCTTGAGAAATTAAACTTTATTAACATTTATCTTGGAAAACAGTTTAGTTAATAAAGTTTACCATGGATACTGAGGTCCCAAATTTGATATCTAGAGTACATATTTTAAAAAGCTGGGCATTGGGATGCACTCCTGGAACTCCAGAGCTAAGAAGGCAAATGGGTGGGTGCCTGAGGGCTCCTGGCTAGCCAGCCTAGGTAAATGGGGGAATCTTAGGCCAGTGAGAACCCTGTCTCAAAAAAAAAAGGGTGAGGAAGGCTGGAGATGGCTCAGAAGTTAAAAGCACTGGCTGCTTTTCCAGAGGACCTAGGTTTGATTCCTAGAATCTACTTGATGGGTCACAACCATCTGTAGCCCCAGTTCTAGGGGATCTGATGCCCCGCTCTTGTACACAAGTGGTGCAGACACACATGCAAGCAAAATATACATCAAATTAAAAAAGAAAGGGGAGTCGAAATCCTAAGGAATGACCCATGGCCTCCACTCCATACATATGCAAACCCATTCTCATTCAGACTGGATATATATCTGTGGTGTATATGCAGCGGTGTGTCTACCTCCACCCCAGCACTTGGGAGACAGAGGTCGGATGATCTCAAGCTTGAGACTAGGCTGGGTTACAATAGACTCCCTAGTTCAGATACCTAACTGAACATCTTGGAGAATGTGATGGCTATTCTTGGTTGTCAACTTGACTACATCTGGAACTAACTAAATCCAAAAGTGGAGGGCACACCTATGAGGAATTTTTTTTTTTTTTTTTTTGCCTAATTTGAAGTAGGAAGATACAACTCTAGTCTGGATCTTGATGTAGGAAGACACATGCGTTTAATCTGGGCCAGACCTTCTGCTGGAGTCTATATAAAGACTTGGAAAAAGGAAGCTTTTGCTCTTTGCCTGCCTGCTCTTGCCTTGTTAGACTTGGGTCCCCTCTTTATATCAATCTGCTCAAACCTAGACACCTGACTCTAACATGGAGTCTGTCAGCTGTCCTCAGTCTCTCAGCTCTGCCAGCCCAGTCTCCACAGCGCACTCTAAGCAGTCAATATTCATTCCTCAATCATCCTGTAAGGCCCCTGCTACTAGGGCCTGCTCTATGTCTCCAATTTAGTCTCCTACTACTCACCGATAAAATATACATTCTTTGGGGCCAAGCAAATTTCCTCATGCCCTAAACAAGCCGCCATCTAACTGACTTACATTCACTCACATGCTTAGGGGGCCCTGACCCGAATTTAACCTCAAGATTGGTTTAATTTTACCTGTTCTTGATTACAGAAGCCACGCCCCCTACAAGTTTGATTGTGTCTGTTCTGATAAACTTCTAAGCTCTACTAAACTGCCGGCTGGTCTGAGGATCATACAATGGGACACATCAGTTACAGGAGCCTTTGTTTTGCTTGCAGTTTTCTCTCCTCCATGAATATGAGGGCAAGCCCAGATGACTTTTAATTTTATTTGCATCCTTCAGGGCAATAACTGTCACCATGGATAGGAGTACCACCTCAGATGCTCTCCAGAAGAAATATAATACAAGTACATATATGACATAAGCCACTCGACGTTGGGCGCCATATGTCAGGAGTTTCTGCGGTGATCCTAGCTGTGGTGGAGTCGTGCGTCCCAGCATAGGAGTGTGAGGATTAGAAAATGTTAAGTAGGAGGAACAGAGATAAGAAAGGATCACAGAAACATAGGGTAGTACCAGGAGGGCAATTCAGTGCCTGTTGCATACTGAGTTCTGAGTCTGCCCCATGTTTAATTTGCCACACACGTTTATACCCCAATACAAAAATGGGGGGGGGGCAAAAGACTGCTTTAACATGACACAAAGGACAACTAGGACAGCTACCTGTTTCAATACTTTGAGACATCAAGTCATTAATTCATGAGAAAAGCATTCTGTTGCTTAGGCAGTGAACCCACCCTAGACCAAGTATCCTAAAGACAGCCACTCCTGAGGTCAAAGCTCCTGTTTCAAAAGAAGCACGCTTGAATTCTCTGACCTTTAGTCAGGGTGGAGAGGATGTACCTCTATTAGCCTTCTCAATGTCTAAAACAACAAGGCCGGGTATGTAGCCACAGTTGCTGTTCTCAACTTTGAGCAACCTCAAACTCTCTGACCTTCAGACAAGATGGAATAGGCTCACACATTTGGGCCTCCACACATATGTTAACATATAATGACTATTTTTAAATTACTAATAAAATTTTACCTTTTTTCACTAGGTCTTCAAAATTTGTTATTTTATGCCTATAGCAGAACTTAACTCAAATATTTAAAGTACTTAAATGTGGCATGAGGCTGGGTATCCTGGAATATGCCTGTAATCCCAATACTTGGGTTGTTGGGGCAGGACAGAAAATTAAAAGCCATCCTGGCGTGTATTTTAGCATATACCAAAACCCGTATCAAAATTTACAAGGAAAAGGTAAGGCAGGGACATGTGGCCAGTAGCTACCATATCAGATAGTACAATCTAGAAGAAACAGATCCTAGACCTATAAATATTAGAATTCTGGGAGACTGAAACACGTCTATTGAAAGTACTCTACACTCAGAGGTACAAAGTGTACTCATAATTCTTAAGGCCCTAGGTTCAATCCACCCACATTAAAAAAGAAAAGAAAAGAAAACAAAAGAATAAAGGCAGGGGAGATGGCTCAGTATGAAGCATGATTAATAAAAACTCAGAGAGAAATTGGGGTTCAGCCTGAAGATCTGGAAAGCAAAAGCGCCAGCCCCTGGCTCTTACCTCAACCTCATCTGAAATGGCGGTCCTACCTCCAGGAATCTCAGAAAGAGACTGTGTCTAAGAGCTGCCTCCTCCCATCTTATATTCCTCTCTATTTCTGGGATTAAAAGTGATTAAAGGCATGCACTGCCCGGTTTCTATGGCAACTAGTGTGGCCACTGGGATTAAAGGTATATATTACCACTGCCTGGCTGTAAGGCTGACCAGTGTGGCTGTTTTATTCTCTGATCTTCAGGCAAGCATTATTTATTAAAATACAAATGAAATGCCACTACACTTCACACCAATACAAACCCTAACTAAGAGATCCCTCTGTTGGATCTCTTATTGGGCTTTGACCTAAAAGAGTAAACAGATTACTAACCACCTTGCCAGACTTTTTAAACTATCAAAACTATCAAAGTTACACTATTGCAAACTCACCTTTCTCCCACCTAAAGTGAAGTAACAATTAAATGTCTACATAGAGGTTTTCTTTCCCTAATGGACTGTATTTAGGAGCCTTGCTCATTCTCGGCAAGTAATCTGCTACTGGGCCACTGATCTACACAGCACTAGCCCAACTTGATGACTTTTTGTTCTGAGATTCAGTCTCACTGAGCTGAGTTGCCCAAGCTGGTCTTCACTCACTCTGTAGCCTAAGGAGGCCTTGAACGTGATATCCCCAGGTCTGGTGTTTCTCACAACTGAGATTACAGGACTGTACTACCAGACTCCGGTTGTTGTTTCCTATTTGCTGCTGTGATCAACACCATGACCAAAAGCAACTTAGGGGAGGAACAGGTTTACTTGGCTCACACTTCTGTCCTACTCCGAGTTACTACTGTTGTGATGAAACACCATGACCAAAAGCAACTTGGGGAGGAAAGCTGTCAAGACAAGAGCAGGAACCTGGAGGCAGGGGCTGAGGCAGGGGCTATGGAGGATGCTGTTTAATGGCTTGCTCCTCCTGCTCTCTCACAGAGCGCAGGACCTGGGCCCTCCCCCATCAATCACTAGTTAAGAAAATGCTCTACACACTTGCCTACAGCCTCATCTTATGAAGGCAATTTCGCAGTCAGGGTTCCCTCTTCTCAGATGACAATAGTTTGTGTCAAACTGACGTAAAACTAGCCAGCACAGCTTCTCAGTCCCAGCTCATCAGTGAGGGAAGTCGGGCAGGAAGTCAAGCAGAAACCACTGGCTCAGGCTCAACTAGCTTTCTTGTATACCTCTCATTTGCTGAAGAATGGTGTCCTTCACAAACAGCTATCAACAGTAAAGACAGTCTCTTAGAGACAGAGGCCAATCTGATCTTGGCAGTTCCTTGTGGTTCCCTCTTCCCACGAGACTTTAATGTCCACTTGACAAAAACTAACCAGGGCAGAAAACGTGTCCAAAATGACACATGACAACCCAACCCAATGATAGAAGGTGGACATCTAAAATCCCAGCCCTTGGGAGGTGGGGATCGAAGGACAGGGACAGCATGGGCTGCAAGATTCCCTGGCTCAAAACATCGAGACCCAAGAACAAAGTCAGCAAAATCCAGACATTTATCCTGGGCTACATTGTTAGTTTCTGCCAAGGCAGCAGCCTGCCTCTACCGCCATAGCAGGTATGTCATCACCTGTCACCAAGTGCCTTTCCACCGTCAGCTGTGCGACATGTGCATCCCGTAGAAGTGCCTACCAGGCACAGCTTGCTCTCTTGCCTCTTTTCCTATTAGCTCTCTTCTTTCTCTTGTTTCTACCCTGTCTGCCTGCCTGCCTCTCTCATGTCCCAACTCCGACATGGCCTTTCAAGCTACCCCTCCACACTCCCCCAAATAAACCTCTTGTACTAACTCTGTTGCACGTAGCATGCTTGCTTAGTGACATACATTAGGAGAGTCGAAAGGCAACCCACTTCACTTTTCTTCATTTACCATTACATACATGATACCTTGCCTTAAAACGACGACGAGATCCAAAAATAAACAAAATTCATTACAGACATTTACCTGGTCTACAGGAACACCAAAATATGCCAGCATGTTTCTTAATATGCTCAGTAAGAGAGACATTGGTGAAGCAAGTTCAAGGCAACATTGTTCGTTAGTACCCTAGAAGAGAAGTTATTAATAATTACGCTTATAAGTAAGAGCCACGTAGATCGCAGTAAAAAGCCTACAGAAGCCTCTCATGTTACACCATCAAGTGACTGCTCCTAGAGAGCGTTTATTTTGAAGGAAGAGGAGAAAAAAAGAAAGTGCAAGGAGGTGGGAAGGAGGTCAGAGAACACTAACAATGAAATTTCACTGTTAATTGAAAACCTCACCGAGTGCTTGTAAAGAGACCCTGCCAATTCAACGTGCGACAAACAAGCTCACTGTCCTGGGAGCTCTGTCGCCCCGGGAAGCTTTCGGCACCGCACCGCAGTTCTTTTCACATCCGCCCCTCCGTCACCGACCGCTGACCGGAAGCCACGGGGCACGGCGGAGCCCGCGCCGCTCGCCTTCCCGCTGCGCTGCACGCCGCCAGGGCGTCCGGGACCTTCCAAAAGCGCTGCGACGCCGGTGCCGGGCCGCCGAGGCGCGAGCACAGGCTCCCTAGCTGGCTCTAAGGAACAGAACGGGTCTTCCTGGACCCGCTCGCCACTTCCGCCTCCAGGAACAACTATCAAACTCCGCGGGCCCAGCTCGGCGCCTGTCCCCATTGGGCAAGGCTGGAGAACGCCGCTTAAGATTGGACGATCAAGAACCAATAGCCGTCTCAGGGATGCGCATGCGCAGAATGCGTTTCAGAGTTTATAACTGTCTTAAGTACCGGCTCTTAGACCTTGTGCATCCTTTGACTGGAGGATATGGCCTCTTACACCCTCCCTTTTCCAGAACTCGACAATGATTCTGCCAACGGACTTACAGCTGTTTGGTCATTCTGCGGAAATATCTAGCCGTAAGCTAAATGCTAGGATTACTCATGTTGAGTCGCATTATCCTGTGTAGTACACCTGTATTTAATGTGTATGCACACCCATACCTGCGCGTGCCTCAGGACGTCCTCACCTACTGTGTAGGATCCAGGGACAGAACCTTAGGCTTGGTAGCAAGCTGCTTTTTTCACAGAGTCATTTCGTTGGCCCTAAAACAAGACTTACTTAAACACTTTTACATTTCAAACTTTGAAATGTAAAAAAGTTTTTGAAAAGCAAAAAAGGTTCTAATTATCCCGCCCCCCCAAAAGGAACATAACTGTTTTTTTGCATTGACAGTAAAACATAATGGAAAGCAGAGTGAAACACACTGCCTGTGTATCTACAATCCAACCGACAAATTGAAGTTTAATTGCTATGTATTTAATTACAAAGCCTCAGTTCTAAAGATTTGGCAAGCCATGAGGACATGGCATAGTTTTGAAAATCTTAAAAAATAATACATTGTTAGGTAATCCTTAATCCTAACTATGTTAGTTGCTAACAATAAAGCATCAACGTGTAAGTTAAACATGTCAAGGAATCTAGAATAAGAAATCCAAACTAGAAAAAGTTGAGCATAAAGTAACAAAGCATTTCTGAAAAGAACAACCCAGAGTGCATACATACTCTGGAGGGATGTGTTGTTTTGCGTTCTCGTTTGGCGGAGGGTTTCGTTGATGATGTTTTGGCTTTTTGAGACATGATCTCACATTAGCAAAGGTTGAAATGAACTGTGTTGCCTGAGTGTTGGAATTATTTATGGGTCAAATCAACACAAGTTCTTAAGTCTTAAATGTGTGATGTCTTCAGCTCTTAGTAGGGACTTACCTTCAATTTCTGAGAGTCAACTAAGAGCACCAGCAATAATCTAGTTTCTGGAGTCTCTTCAATTCACCTGACCAACTTAAAAGGGTGTTTCTCATACCTGGTACTGGGGTTTGTACTATTAAAATTTTTACATGGCTCTCATGGAAAGTATTATCACTCCATAATTTCATATAAACTATAAGTATTGTATGCACATATCATTGTATAATATCTAAATTTGGTAAATGTAAAATTCCTTATGGCTTTTTTAAATGTTTAGTTTTATTCGTCCCCTCGTGTACTCCTGTATAAACTCCCTACCCCTTCCCAATATAAAGTGTATCACCCCACCCAACTCCACCCCTGCCACTTTTCTCACTTCTCCCTTCAGATCATCTCCATCCTGCCAGTGAATTCCAAACGAAACAGGGAGGCCATGATCCCTGGTAAGCAGCCATGGGTGGCCTGAGTTGCAAGATGTGCCAGGAAGAGCAGATAAGTTACCTGGATCTGAGCCATTAGGGCTAGCTAGTTGGTCCGTGGAAATGAGGGCTCTGGGGACTGGCAAGTCCCCTAATAACTTTTTAAAGTAGCTATCAGGGTTAAAGAGAGCACTGGCTGTTCTTCCAGTGGACCTGGATTGAACTTCAAGCTCACACGTGACTCATAGCCAGCTCTACCTCCAGTTCCAGGGGACTGATGCTCTTTTCAGATATTGCATGCACATGGTGCACAGGTGAACATAGTCATGCAGACAAAACTTACACATACAATCACTTTTGGTGGCTGAAGAGATGGCTCAGCAGTTAAGAGCATTGATTGCTCTTCCAGAGGACCCAGATTCATTGCCAGCACCCACATAGCCACTCACTACTGTCTATACCTCCACATCTAAGGGAATCTAACACCCTCATTCATGCAGGCAAACCACCAATGCACATGAACTTTTAAAATTTTTCTAGATTTAACTTTCTACTCATGTTATACATATATATGTATATGTATATGTGTGTATATACATATACATATATATGTATATGTATATATACAGGTATGTATATATGTGCATATGCCATGTACACATCTATTGGACCCATTGGTATTATTTATGGATGGTTATGAGCCACCATATATGTGATGGGAACTGAATTCAGGTCCTCTGGGAGAACTCTTTACTGTTGCAATCTCTCCAGCCCTCATGTTTTTACTATAAATCCTATCAGCTATATATTTTTTCCCAACTACAAGCAAAAGTATATCTTTTTTTAGTAGTGAGGCACTTGGCCCAAGTCTGTAATCCCAGCATACAGGAGGTGGAAAAAGAATGGAGGTGAAGGTTAACCATCTTCAGGGACAGTGATCTCGTGGCCAGTCTGAGTTACTTTCAGTTTTGTTTCCAAGGTTTTTGTCTTTTGTTGAATATCTCACTATACAGTCCAAGCTGGCCTCAAACTCATGACCCTCCAACCTAGCATAAACTTTTTATTCAACTCTTAGTAGCTGTGATTACCTACCTGTTGGAACACAGTCCAGGTATGGAGTTGTGTTAGTATTCTAAGTGCCTGGGGGAACACTCCAAGAAAACACTTTAGTTTCTTCAAAACCCGGAACTGTTCTTAGGAGTATTTCCTGCACCTCCCAGGTATATTGGATAGGACTGAGTTTACTTCAGATTCTTCACTATTCCTTTCTGCTCTTCTTCAATTAAATGTTTGTGCATCTATAGAAAAACGTTGCCACATGTGACTGCTCCTTTTTATTGTATACAGCATATACAGCATATATATAAAAAACTCATAAGTTTTTTACTCATGTGATTTCTAAGCCTCGTGGTATAAATTGCCTGAGGTTCTGAATAAAGTTAACTATTGCATGAGACTCCATCTCATTTATACGCTCCCTTCTCACAGGTCCCACCACCCTTAGAGTAGTGATACTACCAAATGACCAGTAGTCAGAGTGGGGAAGAAGTTTATGATGCTCTGTCCCTCTTTAAGGATTGGTAAGCAGGCAACTAAAGAGTTACTGAGGGAAGGTAAGACTTTCTTCAGAGGAATAGCCATTTGTAAACAGCCTAGGCTCCTGTAACATCTTTGGTGTTTATGTGCACAAGCTTACGGGAGCCATCATAGTTCAGGTGATGGCATCAGACCCTTAGATTGTGTGCCACCATGTGGGGCAGTAGGGACCAAGCCCCAGTCCTCTGCCAAGAGCAGTAAGCTCTCCTAACAGTAGCACTCTGCAGCCCCTGCTCCATTAATTTTAAGCCCACTGGTTCACCAAAGTTCCACTACAGCCTTGAAAAGTCAATCACCACAGTCACAGAGGAAGACAACAGCTTGGCAAACATCATCAGAAAAGTAGAAAGCAAAAAAGTGCCTTCAAAACCCAGGCACAGAAAACTCTTTACTTCATCCTGTATGGAGATTTTTCTCAAAGATTCTCAAGACTTAATAACTTTTTCAGGACTTTTGCGAAGATTCATAGGGCAAATCTGCAGTAGCAGCTGCCACAATTCTATCTTCAACTCCATGTTTCCTTCCACCGGAAATGCAGTTAACTCCATTTGAAACACTCAGGAAACAATGGCAGTTACCAGAAGTATGCATGTGACTTATGACCCTGTGCTACAGTGGAGCCATGCTCCTCCTATCTGGACAACAGTAGCACCAGAAACCTGTTCCTGCAGTTACTCAGAGGAATGGAGACATCATGAATCAGGCCAGCCAATGGAGGTAGAATTGTTTCAAAAGCACCTCAACCCATGTCTAGTAAAAGTATTACACAACCTCTGAAACACAATTTACAGAAATACATGTGTACTCTGAAGTAGTCTGAATGAGATGTTTGTCCCACGTCTCAGGCATTTAAATGCTTGATGCCAATTATTGGTGGTCTGGAGAGGCTCAGGAAGTGTGTCACTAACTGCCAGCGTTGAGATTTAAAAAACCTCAATCTCTGGTTATCCTCAATTCACTCTCTGTGTTCTGTTTGTAGCTCAAGATGTAAGCCTTCAGCTCTCTGGCTGCTGCCAAACTTCTCTGCCTTTGGTAGAGGTAGACTCTCCTCTGAAACCAAAAGCCCCAAATAGCCCTTTCCTTCTATATAGAAGATGCCTTGGTCATGGTAGACAATCAAATATCAAACAGTTATTACTCCCAACTTTGAAAAGCATGTATCAGGATCTGTAATTCAAAATAAACTACACCTAACCATATACATTCCCCTAACAATGAAGTGTTATTTGTCTCTATTTCCCTTCCCTACTTGGCAATTTCATTTAAACAAGGTAATATTGTTTCTTGAATAAAGAAACAATTTTGTTCTTTATGTAAACTTAGGGTATACCACCAAATAGATTTTTTAAAAAAACACAGAAAAGGGACTGGAATCAAAAAGTTTGCTAGGCCAGAAATCTCAGCACCTGAAAGTTCCTCAAGCACCTTGAAAGCACCTTAAGGCACCTCAAGTTCAAGGCTAGCCTGAGGAAGAGTGAAGCCCAGGCCAGCTTAGGTGCCAAAGTGTAAGAACATCTCCAAAAACAACTTGACAAATGGAGCAAAATTTTGCACAGAAAAATCCATAAAAATTACTGTTTTAAGGTACTAATAATGACACACAGCCCCCCCCCTTTTTTACAAATACGTCTCTATGGAATTTTTTTATTTTAAATTTGCAATTCATCAGAATGTGCCAATTTAAACCAGGCATAGGTACATCTCTTAATTTCAGCACTCGTAAAAAAAAAAAAAATCTTGAAATCCCAAGACAGCTGTGCTACATAGCAAGACCTGCTTCAAACTTTAAAGTTTTTATAAGTTGTCAATTCCGGGGCAAGCAAGGAGAGTGTGGGGAAAAGCAATGCTGCCAAGTTCGATGTTGATGTCTAGCAGGGTAGGACAAAA